GTATACGGTATGGTTCTAACAGCACTCGAAACACATGTTGATGTGTGTTGTTAGCGTTTAGCCATCCTCAGCAAATGCAACCAGTTTGGCTGTGCTCTGAGCTGCACCAGAACCACCATTTTCCTGCGTTAAGGTATGTGGTTTGCATCAGGCCGAGTGCGTTTGCCTTCATTCTTCATCCTCAAGGCCTCATGTTGTTGGGTGAGATTTCTTCCGTGGTCCAGTGTGCTGCTGCTCCACGCCGGCAAAGACTGGTCGCGTTCCCGCAGCTGGCCTTCCCCTCAGCCTCCATAACGCTCCTCTGTCCCACGCAGCAGTGGGTGGTAAAAGGGAGAATACTGCCACTTGGCTTTCAAGTTGGGGATAGTTTTGATATTTGAGCGGTTTTGCAAGGTGACTTTGAAAGCCATTAAACACCAAGTGACTTCACTGTTCACGTTTTGCTCCTCTTCCCAGTTTTCATCTGGGAGACTCAAGGCGGTTTATAAGTTGGCCATCGTTTTGTTTCGCAGCCCTCGCTTAGGAACTGGGGTCTCTGCTCCATTCGCTAGACTAACGACAGACACGGGAGTTATGGTTTACCCAGATGTGACGTAGCTTTATCACCTGTTGTGGTGTGTCTTCCGCACCTGGACTCTAACCATAGGACCGCCCTTCTCCCCCACCCCAGCCCATGTAATTCGATGGTTTTGAACACTTACGCACTGTTAGAAAACCCTAACTGTGTGCCAGATAAGTCATCAAATAAAGAAAAAAGCAGACAGCAGCGAGCGTGGGATTTTTTTGGTGTTGTTTTTTTGGTGTTGTTTTTTTTAACTGAGTTTGCATTGCCAGAACCATTAAAGAAATATAATCCATTAAATCTGCAAAATCATCAGTTGTAAATCTTGGCCATTTACATTCCATGTGTGCAGAAAAGAAGTACTATGCTGGGAGATGATTACATGATTACTCATGGTTTAAACACAATTCCCTATTGTAGTGCGGTCAGGACTGAACTAGTCTGTAGTTCAAGGGACTGTTCTTCTCACACAGAAATCCTCATGCACAGCGATTTCTACTGTAACTTCACCAGAGCTGCCCTGACTTACACCACTATTAACGAGGGGATAGTTTAGGCCTAGGGGCATTGAGCAGTCAGGAACATTTCAAATACTGCTCTTACGAATCTTGCACATTTTATTGTTAATCATTTACTGTTAGTCACGCTGGGAGGACTCTTCTCAGCTGTAGGTAGCAGTCTCTGAATACATACCTGCACCGTATGTTTATGTATATCAGAAGACCAGTTTATGAATAGTGGTTTTCCCACTTCTTTTGGGGATACAGTCTGCTTTCCACTTGCCAGCAGGTAGTAAACTTGGGATGTTGACAGTTCTGCAACACCAAGTCACAGGCTTGGCAGAATACTTGCAGTTACTGATCTGCCCTCCACTGGGAAATTCAGTGCTAATCCTCAGAATTTTTTTTTAAGTAGAAGTTTAAGGCTGCAGTGGACTTTTTTTTTTTCCTTCTTTTTGAGAAACTCTTTCATGTGTTTATTTTTTGCACATAGATCACTTTAAAATTGCTGGACTATTGACTCTCTAGAAAAACTGTGGAATATACTATTGGTGTATGCTTTGTATTTGCTGTCGAGTGTCATTTCAGCTTCCAAGAAATCATGTGTAGGAGGGAGGAAGAGTTGGAGGATGACAAAGTAATTAAAATATTTAGAAAAATAGTTCTATTTTTCATCTTTTTTTTTTTCTTATTTTAGTAGCGGAGTCGCACAAAATGCGGCTGTGGATTGATCCAGCTTTTAATAGCTTTTTTGGTGTTTCCAATTCTCCTGCTGTCCCTACTGATGTTCCAAAAATAAACCCCTGTCCACTTGGTATGAGTATGGTATCCATAATTTAGACCACTGTTTTGACTAGTTATTAGCCAATTGTACTTCTTTAGACAACTTCCTCCAAAATAAGTATATGTTAAAGTTAATTTCAGGCTTGTGATGCTTGCTCAGCATAAACTCCATTCTCGCTTTTAGGAGAGCTTTCTCAGAGTGGGGAGGAACTGCTCGTCATCCCCACATCGCCTCCCCCCAGTCCTTCCTCCTCTTTGTGACTGTTTATAATGTTCCTATTTCCTGCGTGTCAACTGACACAGTCTTGCTTTAACGTCTTGGAAGTTCATCTCTTTCCCATGTAAGGCATGTGAAATATATTTTGCATTTCTATTTGATTTAATAAATGAGATGTTTATATCTTCCTCTAATCTATCTTTTGTTTTAATGGGGGAAAAGTGTGTCTGCGTAGTAAGATCTCTGATTTCACGTATCTTATGTTGAACTTGTTCCGTGGTGCCTATAATCTAAGAAGGAAGAGGTATGAGTTGCTGCTCCTAGTAAATCCTGTAGGTATGGTTTCTAACTAGAATACAGTACTTCAGGATTGTTTTTTTCCTTTTTTTTTTTTTCATATACATAATCTAAATGACCTACCACTGTTTTTATTTGGCTAATGAAGTTTTGCAGAATATATCTATGGCCCAGGAAGAAAAATGACTCCGTTCAAATGCGAGGAAGTAGGAAATTGCCCATTCCATTTGCTCCTGCTACTGTAACGCATTTCTGTGAAGATCCTTTAGTTTTCCAACAAATTGACCTTTTGGAAGATGCTTCATGGGATGCAAACAGAGCTATGACTGTCCTGAGCAGGCATCAGGCCACTTGGTCTAAGGGAGGATGCTGACACTCGTGAAAGGCTCTCTGCTGCTAAATAAATGGCTTTGCAGTCCTGAGCTGCCCTCTCTGGTAGCAAAGGGGGAAGCCCAGACGCTGTAAGTCATGTCTGCTTCTGGGGGATCCACTTTGTGGACTGTATTTTTAATAAAAATCTTACCAAAATAGCTGTTCCGTATACTGTTTTTCCATGGGTGCGCGCAGAAATTAGTGGTGTAGTTACGTGAAGGCAATGGGCTAGACTGCGATTCCTTTACTTAAAGTCAAGTTAAACAAATGAGGGGCTCCTACAGCTGTGGTGCTGACTGTCATTCTGATTTCTTGCAGGAGCAGATTTTGGCTTTCAGACTTCTCGGTTTTCAAGACAGGGAGCTGTGCAGGAGCCTGACAGTCCTGAGCGTAACTCTTCTGCAGCTCGTTCTGAACATGAAAAATGAGGCTTCCGTCGGGTCTGTGGGATGTGAACCCGTGAGGGTGCTAAAGATGAGAACAAAAGCTTTGAATTTGCTGAGGCATCCCAGTGTTGATGGCAGAGCCACAGGGCACAGTGGCAACGGGCTGAGGGTGGCTTATCTGGGCTGCTGTCGCCCACTGCAGTGAGATTATTGCCTGGGCAACAACTGGCCTTGGAGATAGCATGGAGCTTCAAAGCACTCAGAGCAAGAAGGGAGGCTAAACCTGTGACTTGAGACCTACTTTTGGTTTTGGCACAACCTTCTCCTCACCTGGGGAAAAGGGCATTAAAAAGATTTAAATTTCCTGTCTACAAGCTGGGGATTCTTTAATGGAGGTATGCATGAATGACTGTGAAAAATGCAAATCCTGTAGAAATGTAGGTCACATAGAAAGAGTCAAGAGGCACAGGCAGTCTCGTCATTAGCTGCATGGCAGAGCCCTATCAATGCGTTTCTAATGTGTGATCCCAGAACAATTTGATTCAGACAACAAGCTATCATAGGCAGGACTAGAAGATACCTCAAGATGTCTTTAAGCCTGCCACCCTGCCTCATGCAGAAATAAGGTTCCCTAACTCATTCCTGCCAGATGTTTGGCAAGCTGTAGGAACAGGTTACACAGGGATGGAGATTCCAGCCTCTCTAGGCACGCTGTTTCCTTGATCGTCTTCCCTGCTGAAGAAAAACAGCTAGAACCATAGCCAGACAGCAACTGCTGATGCTCCATTTAGGCCAAACCAAACAATTAGACATGTATTAATCTATTTGCTTGCAGAACTACAGACCGAGACAGACTTCTGCGTGGACCTGTTGTGTCCCAAGCAGCTTGGGATGACTGGAGTTTGGGATTCCTTTGAAAAGAGCTCTGAGGGACAGCTGACTTCAGTTTGGTGACAGATAACAGTGCGAAGAGTCGCATTCTGCAGCGATGGCAAGGCCATCCGCAACCACGCTGCAATGCACTTAGGGCTGGTCTGCCTCATCTTAGGCTGGTGGTTGACATCCTTGCCCTCGCAAAGCTGAGCAGAGCCTGGGTGGTCTGTTTGTTCAGAAAGACATTTTGTGAAGGCATTTAAATAAAATGTTTCTCGAGCAAGTTTGCTGTAGGAACATGCAAGGTGATCCTTAAGAGTAGCAGAATTGGAAGAATTGAGACAAATTCTGTAGTGTTTTTGACCTTGGCATTAACTCCTTGCCTCCCACTGTGAACTGTAAAATTGCTGCACAAACTACTGATTAGCTTACAGGCTTCCCCGAATGATTGGCAATTTTAGCACTGCAGAAGAGTTCCCAGCGCAGGCTGTCCACTTGTGCTTGTACAGCGTGTTCAGCACTTAAACCGAAGGCATCAAACATCGATGTTTCAAAACCCTGCGGGCTTATGCTGTGACCAATTTCCCAGGACAGCAAATCATTCCCCATGCTGCTAAAGGGAGGGAAAGCTGCGTTACTGAGTACAGTTGTTTCTGTAGCAAAGAGGAGGCTTTAGAACTAAGCTCAGAAACAGATTTTCCAAGCTGATTACAAACATGCACCCATTCCACGATAAAAGTCATGGGAGATGTCGTTTCTGGCAGAGCGATGCTGAAAATAGTTCCTGTAACTCAGCCAGGCATGGGTGCAGAAGCGGCAGCTCTTTAACGCTGCGCGTCGACACAATGCAACTCAAGAGAGGATCTTTCAAACCACACGCACTGGAGTTTGGCCAGGCTGCA